CAACACAGAGTTCTACTTTTATGCAGATTTTTTCATTAAATATATGTGCAGTACTATAAATGTACTTTCTCTTCCTTATGGCTTTCTTTTTTTTTTTAATTTAATTTATTTATCTGACAAAGAGAGAGAACATACATGTGGGGGGAGGGGCACAGGGAGAGGGAGAAGCAGACTCCCCACTAAGGAGGGAGCCAGTTGTAGGGGCTCCATCCCAGGATCCTGGATTTATGACCTGAGCTGAGGCAGACACTTAAACGACTGAGCCACCCAGGCGCCCCTTCCTTATGATTTTCTTAACAACATTTTCTTTTCTCTAGCTTACTCTGTTGCAAGAATACAGTACATAATACATATAACATACAAACTATGTGTTGATCAGCTGTTTATATTATTGGTAAAGCTTCTGGTCAAGAGTAGGCTATTAGTAGTTAAGTTTTGGGGAAGTCAGAAGTTATGCATGAATTTTTGAGTGCACGGGGATGGGGGTCATCGCCCCTAACCCCTGTGTTGTTCAAAGGTTAACTGTACATGAATAAATGTTTATGTATGTTAAAGGGAGTAGAGCACAGTCATCACAAACATGGGCTTTGGATCAGAGACACTCGGGTTCACGTCCTGGCTCTAGCACTATTGTGAAAACTTGGACTAAACTAACTTCAGGTGATGGTTTCCTCCACCTTAACGTGGGAGCCACAAGAGCACCGACCTCATGGAGTGTGTGTGGATATTCAGTGAGGGAACACATAGGAGCGCTGCCCGTCATAGGTACTTGATCAATATTAGCTCTTATCAATTAGCAAACACACATGTTTCTGACCTCCAAAATTTCCAGAACACTTCTTCCCATGTTTTCTTCTGTGTTTGGTTTTATTGCTTCTATAACTTCTCAGATGGCAGTCTCCTTGACTGATTATCTTCTTCTTGTGGCCCAGCAGGACGACAGGACCCCGACTTGGCTTGGGAGTGAGCTGGAGTGAGGTGAGTAACTTTCCTTAAATAGCGGCTGGCAGAAGTCAGTAGACGACAAACACATCAGGTAAAGTCTGCTTTGGCGGTGGTAGCCATCCCGGAGGGAAGCACCAGAGACCTGGCCCCTCGCTGCTTCCTGCTGCCACAGCTGGCTCACATTTGACCCCACAATTTGTTCTCTCCTCCCCAGGGGTGAAGCAACACCTCCTTCTAGCGGGGACGCAGACTCGAGCGGTTGCGAAAACTCTCAGATCCCACTGCTGGCACCATGTCCTCAGAAGCCAGTGAGCTCTGCCCAGGTAGTCAACTTCCACTTCTCTGGATGATTCCTGGAATTGTGGGGATGCTTCCAGCTGCGTTACCCTAAGAGGAATCAGTCCCTTGAAGGGCTTCCTTGAGTCCCTAAGCGGGAGTCAAAGGGAGTCCCCAGGCCAGGGGTCTGTGGGGACACCTCCCTCCTGTCTTCTCAGGGTCATGGCTGAGATGCTCACTTCCTCCCTCCCCCTGCCGCCCATCAAATCCATCAAATGACCCAGAAGTGAGGCCAGGAGAGCCCGCTGGGAGGTGGGGGACAGCAGAGGGGAAAGGAGGGAAGAAAGGGGTCCTGAGGTAGGGCAGGGGGAGGAGGTAGACCAGCAAGCTTGGAGGCTTCTTCTGCCCTCTTGCCCTGTCCAAGCCTCCAGCAGGGCTAAGGATGACTGTGGGGCTTCACAGCAGCGGCCGCTCCCTCCAGTTCTCACCCTGCTGCCAGCCTGACTGCTCTGTGATGGTCAGTGGGCCACTGACCTGGACCCCAGTCTGGTCTTTGCCACCTCCCACCTGTGTGACCTGGAGTGCCTTACCTAACCTTACCTGTAAAATGAGAATATTTCCCTATGTGGTTATGAAGATCAAATATAATGTGTTTATGAGGTTTTGGCCAGGACCTGCTACACAGTATGTCCTCCCTAAGTATTGTTGCTGTCCCCTCTACCTGGAACCTGTTAGTTCCAGATAGAAACCTCTCCTCCCCCAGCATCCCCTGGCCCCCCACGGCTATGTTAGGGCACTTGTCCTGTGTCCCGACTATAAGCACCTGCTTATGAGATACGAAAGCGGGGCAGGAACTGATTCTATTGATCTCAATAACCCTGCCTAGGCCGGCTCTCAGCTATTCCCCGCCACCCCACCCCCCAATCAATAAATACACATATTTAGCCCTGTAGGTTCCCTCCAGCTAAGCCTTGGTTTCCCTCTCCCTTAGTGGAGCAGGAAAAAGAAAAAAGTAAACAACTTTTCATTTTTTCCTTTCCATCTAGAGAGCAAAATCCTTCTTGAGGATGTCACTGAGTCTTTTCAGAGCACAGTGAGCTTCGAGGAACTGCACTTCCTGCTGACTGACCGTGAAGCCTGGGAGAGATTTGTGGCTCAGGCCACGTTGTCCAGGTAACCCCCCGGGGTTGCCCCGGGATGGTCACCCTGGTGTCTGTGGGACAGTATCTTGGGGTTGGGGTTGAGTATGTTCCTTCTCAACAATCCATGAGGAATATGTCTTCCATTACATTCACCGCAGTGAATGGCCTCGGATTGAGCCAAGGTGAAACCTGCAGAGTGACCTTGGTCCTTTACCTAAAGCAGACCTGTCTCTGCCTTTGTCTCTTTGTCTGTTCAATTTTGTCATGAGGAAATGAAGATAATGCATGTAAAGTGCTTAGCACAGTGACTGACACATAGTAGGGTCTCAATTAATTTTAACTTTTTAGAAGATTGCCGAGAAGAGACAGGGGCTAAGGGTCTTCTTCCTAGAGATGAGGGCCAAGCAGGACTTCTGGGACAAGTCAGAAGAACACTGACACCTCAGTCTGTGCCCCTGGGGATTCGGACTAGAGTCTTCCCTAAGGAGTTATATGAACGTGCAGGATCCTGCTGACCCATGAGGTGGAGACGCTAGAGTGGAATTGGACCGAGCTGGGTTGGATCCTGACTCTATCTCTGTCCAGCCCTGGGGCTCTCTGGCTCTGTATGTCTTGGAGTCTCAGATCTGTCATTTGTTCAATGGACACAGTAATCCAATCTGATAAGATTGTGGCGAAGGACTTTGTGTGAATTGTGAGGTCAAAGGTGAGGAACCAAGTGCAGTCATCCTGTCCAAAGGCCCAGGAGGCTTGGACCAGGGCCAGAGCTGGTGATCAGGATGGACAAAGGGGTGTGGGGTCTAGGTTGGAGGACTAGGTAGGCTTGGACAGCAGGGCTGGAACTGAGTGAAGCTCTAGAGCACAAAACTTGAGGAGACCAGGGACCTAGCAGAGGTCCTGTGAGAGGGAGAGGGCACATTTCTTCCCTCCCTTCTTTGATTTCCTCACTGCTGGGCATCAGGGTCCATGGGGGGTGTTTCTTCCATACCTTGCCTTGGAGCTGGGGGGGTCGTGACTACCATTTGGAAGCCTCTTCTCTTCTACCTAGAGCAGCCCCAGACCAATAGGAGGCAGTGTGGCTTTGTGACAGCTTCCAGCTCCACAGGGGGCAGCTGCCAATTCTGTACTCTTTGGGGGATTCTGAGCCTCAGAAGTCCCCACCAAAGAGGAAAGTACTTCTTGCACCAGCTTGCCCGAATGCAGGTCTTTTCCGGCTTAGTGATTCATATAGAAGGTTGTCAAAGTCTCTTGCATCTTTAAGAGATGTCATAAAGTTGCACATGGCCTTGGTGTACCAGCTAAGGTGTGAGTTAAGCTGGTGACACCCGTGAGGTCGGGGGTGCTGGGCGGTGGCTCGGGAGTCAGTTTCGTGAACTGGAGAGTCTGAGGGGAACGAGGGTAGTGGGTGTCCCGCTTCTCAGTCAGTTGGGGCAGGGCCTGGTCCCCAGCAGAGGACATGAGGCTTGGGAGAGAGAGCAGGTGCCAAGCAAAATGATCATTAAGGTCCCTTCTCGCTCTGAGGTTTTGTTTTCTTAAATTCCAAGTACCCAGAGTTAACCAAACTGCAAAGTCTGAGAGCACAATCCCTAAGACTGCCCTTACTTTTGGCACCAACTGCAAATTGGGGGGGCGGTCCCCAAACTACCCTGAGATTGGATGATGCCCTGGAAGCACTCATAGAGCTCACTCAGAGCTGTCACTCTCAGTCACCCTGTGATACAGGGAAGGATACAGGTTCCCATCAGCCAAAGAGAGAGACACTTGGGGCAGAGTCTGGGAGGGTTTCCAGTGCAAAGCTTGGTTGTCCTTGGGAGGCCTTACTGTCCTGTGTTCAGTGTGTGACAATGCACGTGGAGCATTGTCCACCAGGGAAGTTCACACTGTGAAAGTAAACAATTATTGTGACACTTACTAATATGGTAAAGAAGACTTAATTCATGCCCTAGGCGTCGAGAGTGATGTCATCGGGGAGAGAGATCGGGCTCACCTCGGAATACAGCGAAGACAGCTAAGGATTTATAGCCAAGGAGCAGGATGGGGGCAGGGTATGGGAAATCACTAAGAGGAGACATCAAGGTGGGGGATTCTTGCTAACCTGACCCAGTAGTGTTCTTCCTGAAGGCAGGCAAGGACTTCTGCATCAAAGGTGGGATTTGATCAGATGTCAAAGGTGATTAGATATCAAGAGTGCGTGGATTCTCACTAAGCTGACCTAACAGGGTTCTTGCTAAGACTGGGCATGACAGGCTGCCAAGGACAGAGCACAGAAGACCAAGGTCAAGGCCTAGTCAAGAGGAGTGTCAGAGAGCCCGAATAACGTTTGGTCAAGGAGAGAGTCTTTTTCAACCCCGTCCTCAGAGTACAGAGTTTTATTGGGGCTCAATCACCTCCTCCCTGCATGGCTGACTTGTCGTCTTCAGCTCCCCTGGAGGTTAGTTTCTAGTTCCTCTGTAGGTCAGAACTGACAGCACATGACCCAAAGCCCCCCTCGTCTTGTCAGGTTGTCCAGTGAGTGGCCAAAGGCCCAGGCAAAGGAAGACAGTCTTATTGTTCTAGGACCCTTGACATCCTAGGTGGGGGCCTAGAGATCATTTCCCAGTGCTAAGGGCAAAGGGCACACCTCTCTGTGGGTAAGGTTCATCCTTCAGTACACACGAAGATTCCCCGAATGAAGGTTTTTCTGCTCCAACCCCACTTCCCTTTGTTCATCTACTGAGTTCCCAGTCTACACACACTGTGGTACCGACCGTGTTGACCTGGGAAGCCATCTTTATCAGATACCCACCATTTAAGTGCATCTTAAGATGAAATGGACTTATTTATTCCCTGACTGTGTGTATGGAACATTAGCAATGTACAGAATGTGTTTAACATTGCAAGAAAAATTCTTTACATTTGTAAAATTCTTTTCCCTTTGATTTGTAGTAAACGTTCTGTGGTTTATGTGGGATAGATCGAATGAAGCCCACTTTACAGATAAGCTTTCCTTTTTTTTTTTTTAAAGATTTTATTTATTTATTTGAGAGAGAGAATGAGACAGAGAGAGAGAGCATGAGATGGGGGAGGGTCAGAGGGAGAAGTAGGCTCCCCACCGAGCAGGGAGCCCGATGTGGGACTCGATCCCGGGACTTCAGGATCATGACCTGAGCCGAAGGCAGTCGCTTAACCAACTGAGCCACCCAGGCGCCC